CCTAATTTGTGAGAGATTTGGTATTGTTCATTTGTTCCCAAGATTTTTTGCGCAAAGTCATAACCGACCAATCCAACCCAACCCAATCCTACCTGACCGAAACTTGACTGGGTGGGGTTGGGTTGAAACACTTAAATGGGTTGGGTTGGGTTGATTTTCGATCAAACCGACCATGTTGGGTTGGGTTTGGGTTGAGCAAAAAACCGACCCAACCCAACCCACGCCCACCCCTAGACAGCACGTAGAAGAGTGGTGACTTTGTTTCTTTTTTTGCCTCTAAATTGGGGTCCTTCTTTGAATTGTTGACTCAGCTCCAATTGTCTTTTCTCTCAACGCTATTTAAAAACTCGGCCAGCGGTCCGTGGTGCCATTTAAGGTTTGAATTGGAAGCATTCTATAAAGCCGGCGTGATATCAAAATGAAGTCAGCGATTCGTTTACACTTTGCATCGTCGCATGGCATGTTGTGAATTTAAACAGATTCATAAAAAAACATAGTGAGAATTAATCAGAATGGTCTTTCGGATCGGACCTAGGCGTCTATTTCCCTCTAGCAGCATAATTAGTCAAAAGGTTTGAGACGACAGTATCAAGAAATAAAGGTTTGGAACTCATTTGCAAATGTTTGAGATCCTAACTCCAATTTTCCCATAAAAGATTTGCGGTTATGCATATTCTGAATAGAACACGAGGAAAATTGGCCGACATAATTCTGAAAATCAATTATCACAAAAATAAGAGGAAAGAAAAATTTCACTTGTACAGAACTATTTCTTCTGTTAAAATGACGGATTACTCACATGGGGGTGGGCCCATATGAATAAAATATTATTATAAAAAATGGGGAACACCCCCATGTGTATAACTGGTATTTTTACAGAAATAAAGTTTCTATAATTGCAGCATGATTCAAGAGGAAAACAGAAGATTTGCTGTTGTATGTCGGTTGCCAATCCCAAAATCTATTTGGTACATATTTTTGGAGTAGGAATGCATTTTTACTGTTGATATGATGGTGAATATGTGGTTGAAAAAGAAGTAAAAGTTATTGATGTGATGAAAAATATTATTTTATTAAATAATGTGAGTTTGAAAATGAGTAGAAGAATGAGAATGAGAAAAATAATGTGGCTCAAATATGACAATAATTCAATACATTGCAACTTCAATACATAAGAGTACAACTTATTATTAGTGACAAAATGAGTTTACATACCATGGGGTGAAACCTACAGTGAAGAATCCAAAAATTCGCAATGATGTGATGACTCGTAAACCCAGCAAGAGAGGCACAAAGATTTTCCTTGCTCTAATCAAGATCGTGAACACATGCTCATAAGTCACTATAATTGTACAAAAAAAAAATAAAAAAAAAAATGCAAGAATGAAACCCGTAATAGAAATGGTTGCAAACATGATCAAATTGGTGTTTCGAAAACTCACTGCTGCTAATTAAGAGGTTACGATGAAGGATGATAATACCTTCGATGACTTCTATGCGAGATTAAATGATATAGTTAATTTTAACTTCAACTTAGGTGAGAAAATTCCCGAACCTAAGATTGTCAGAAAAATCCTTAGAGATCCTTACCTGAGAGATTTAAGCCTAAAATCACGGCTATATAGGAGAGTAAGGACATAGATGCTATCAAGATTGAAGAATTGGTTGGATTTCTCTGAACTTATGAACTAACATTAGTTAAATCTAAGAAAGATAAGTCATTGACTTTGAACACCGCTGGGGATGATTATCATAATTCTTCTGCTTCGAAATCACGTAATGATTGGGAAATAGCCTACTTTGTTAATAATATTCAAAAAATGTTTAGAAATAAGAAGAAGACTAAAGAGAGATATAGAGGAGACCCTGTGAGTCTAGAAAGAAATCTAATACTGCGAGATGTCATAAGTGTCAAGGTTTTGGCACTATAGAAGTAAGTGCCCTAATGGTAAGAAAAATTAAGGTAAAGCAGTGAATGTAACTCTCACTGATGACGAGTCTAACTTGGATAATCATAGTAAGATGTTCACTCATGATGAGATTAGGAAGTTTATGGTCTTCATTGCTAGGATTAAAAGTGAATTTGATAAGGACAATGAAAATGATGATAAAGTAGATGGTGGTGAGCACTCTGAGGACGAGATTCATGAGGTTTATTAACAATTATTTGAAGAGAGTCTTAAGATTAAGAAAGTGAATAAAGCCGCGCTTAAGTAGATCAAAGAACTTGAGATAGTTAGAGATAAACTTGTAGCTGACATTCGGGAGTCTACCTTATGCCCCAATAAATTAGGTATTGTGAATCAATCTGTACGATCTAAGATTAAAAATCTTACAAGTGAACTTGAGAAGTCCTCTAGGAGAGTTAATGAGTTGAACATTGAGAATGATAAATTAGAAATCCATGTTAAATACCTTCTGAGTGAACTTGAATATTCCAAGTCACAACTTCCTGTTTTCTTTTGTGGTTCTCAGAAACTTGATAATCTTTTAAGGATGAACAATCCTCTTGAAAACATGAGTGGTCTAGGCTATGATAATTATAGTCCTCTAGCACTTTCAAAACCACATTCGTCCGTGCTACTAATAAGACCTAGAGAGTAGGTAATCCCATTGGACAACTTAAAATGTTTCCAAATAGAAATCAATTTCAGGAACCACGTAGATTTGGACATAGGTTTGTCCATACTTGTTTCGATCATGGTGAGTTAATACACATAAGACCTAGATGTCATAAATACCTGAATAGAAATAGAAATCAGAATTTCACAAAAGTTAGAAATCAGGATTTTGATGGCCGTATTGACTTTCTCACTAATCAAGTGAGTCATTTGACCAAATTAATGATACAATTGACTTGAAATAAGTCTTTGACTAGACAAGGCTGGATTAAAAAGAGTGATCTGAAAAATCTTAAAATGAATCACTGTGCTTTTAAAAGTAAGAGCATTTGCATACATAACTGATTATGTGATTTTAGGTGTTTTTGATGCATGTTTATACTTATTAATTGTGATTCATTTATTATTGCATGCATCTCATTTTTGTTTTGCTTTTTAGGTAGTTTGATTTTTTTAAAATAAAAATAAAAATGAAAACTGAAAAGAAAAGGAATGGATTTTCTTTACTACAGCATGATATATATGATTTATTTGAATATGTGTTTGTGATCAATTCTGAATTTAATTGACGCGTTGTAGCATATTTTTCATTACTTGTTTAGGTTTATGTGGAGTCGCAGTATAGGTTTCTTCATGTACCATATGCACTGTAAGCATTATGATTTTGTAAGTGAGTCATGACCACGTATGTGAGATTTGGGATGGCCTTCATGTGTTGGTAAGGTGACATTGAACATGGATTGATCTTAATTTGGTAGACCTAAGCTCTAGTATATCTCCTTAAAAGAAAAAAAAATGTTTTATCTTATACTCTTTTTCGAAACATATTTGATTTGAGCAATTAAGCTCATGTGGTTTCTTATAACCCAATGCCCTATGATCAACTGACTTGGAGTTATCGGCCCCAAAACTCGGCATAGGGATCATCTTAGTCACTTAATGGAAAAGTGTCTGCTCATAAAATGTAAAAAAATGAAAAGAAAAATAGAAAATTGTGAGAAAATGTATATATGCTCAAAATCAGGGGAAAAAAAATAATATACATGAAAAATGAGCTTCATTTGTAGGCCCTAATATGTATTCATAGTTTGACTTTCATTATTAGGGGAATAAACTTATTTAACAGTGATATTTAGCATGTCATTTCTTACAAATTTAA